TATCGTTTTCCAACTCGAGCGAGACACGACCAATGATGACTACTTACATGTCAAATGATGGTCTTATAGAAGGACTTGGTCTTTATAATTGGAGATTTCATCTGGTACTGGTTATCTTCCAAAATCAAGCCCCTAGAACTTTAACTCTTATAGTTCATGATAAATTCATCTTCCTGAACCTCGGGGCTGCCTCCATGGATAGACGTCCGTTGAATTCACAACGGCTGAACGACGGCGATTCAGGACGCTGCCTTACTTCTCAAAACAACCGAGAGCCACTCCCTCAAGCTTCCATCTCTCAAGGCCTGTGTCGTTGGCGGAGTCTGTTATTTGAGATACGATCGATACCTCTGCTTAAGCGGACAAAAGGCCGCTGTTTGATGAAAAGAGATACATTCCTTGCCAATCTTCCCATTTGCCCGCCACTCCTCAATCTTTTCGGTGCCATGCGATCAAGTGTACTGCTGTCGATTGGGCTTGGGGCTTTGGTTGCTCGAGCACAGCTTCGCTTCCCATGTTCACAGCTTGTTACACAACGCTTCGACCCGTAGGATGATTGGGCCTGCAGCTTGTGAAGGTATCTAATGAGTAATCTAGGCTCGTCAATCCTGGCCAAGTCTCTCCCCATCTTCACCAGATCATTGGTGGGGTAAGAAGTTTCTATGTCCCACTGGTATGATAAACCCTTGACTTCATTGTTGTTGTTTCTAGAACGCGTGCGTCTTTGCTTATATTCAATATCATAAGAACGGACTATGTTTACACTTTTTCTCCAGTTTTAATCTTACGATGGATCCGGCCAACGATCTTCCTAAACTCTCGACTTGTACGACATGTAGGTTTAAGGAGGATTTTTCCAATTACTGGACGGCGGTGATGTTCTTTAAGCATCGCAACGGGAGTTATATTCGAGTAGGCGCTTGTTCACAGTATGTCAAAATCGGCTCTCTTGGCTAACAGTTGGTTGCTTAATTAGGTCCCCCAGATGGCGAATCAAGTTACTGGAAACCCCAGCGGTGGTATGACAGTGTACTACTTTCAGCCATTTAACGGGGAAACAGTCACGGCGTTCAAAAAGGTATAGTATGATTAAGTTCTAGCATAACACAACCACTAAAGTCGGCCAATGAGTAGGGATTTCGTATGATCGTTGGTGATCCCATGATAAGGAACAATACCTTCATCAACCCAGATAGTGGAGAAGCAAAAGCCCTCTCCTTCCGATGCTTTGACGCAAACTTTTCAGGACCGTCAGCGCCTTATGCTCCAGGCAACGGTTTTGATACTGTTGACTTTCCGAAGCAAAAATGCGCAGGAGGCATAAGAGCCAACATCTACTTCCCATCGTTCGTCCAGACTCTTTGTAATGTGATTAATATTCATTCAAATTACGCTTGCAGATGTTGGGATGGCGTTAACCTTGATTCTCCTAATCACCACGTAAGAAAATCTTTACATACTCCCTGGGTTTGAATTCAAAAACTTGATTTCAGAGTCATATGGCCTACCCTCTCGGACCTCCCGACCAATCGGATCTATACTACTTTGGAGGCACATGTCCTGCTAGCCATCCTGTTCGAGTTCCGGTCATTTTCATGGAGACGATGTGGGATACCAGGCGATTCAATGACCTGGAGTGGCCAGAAGATGGAAGCCAACCATTGGTGTTTAGCATGGGTGACCCGTACGTAACAATATTTGGTCAGTTGAGTTCCTCTTTCGAATCAATGAATGGTTTCTTCAGGACGGGATACGGGCAACACGCAGATTACATATTTGGCTGGGAAGGCGATTCCCTCCAGAGAGCCATGGATAAATGTGTGGGAGGAAGCGGCGTACCTGAAGCCTGTAAAGAACTCACCCTTAACACTGACGAAGAGATGAACAAATGCACTCAGACTCCGCGAGTGGATGAGATAACTGAGGGACAATGTGAGCTCGATTTGTTCTGGGATATGTCTGGTCAGCTGAGCGAACGCGATTTGTAGACCTTGAGGCACTTCCAGGGTGTAATCCAATTCAAGATGGACCCACACCTGCGACTGCTGTAGCGGCATGCACGGCTATCTCTACCACAGTGGGAATTCCATCAGCGAAAGCAACAAGCTTGTAAACTTTCAAATCATTCAATCCAGTACTTTCTCCCGTACTTTCTCAGAATCTGGAAGTCAGGCACAACAGACTTAGCCCCACGACACGATGAGCGGTCATAAATAGTGATTGATGTGTGGGAAGAAAACAACGATGGTCCTCCAGGGACAAACTAGCGCTGGCAGTTTCACGATTTACGAGTAGAGGTGTCAGTCTCCTTCCAACTTTCAAGTAGAGCTTTCCTCAGACTCGGAAGGCCAGGCTCTGACTCATTATCATTGGGATGAGTGTATGTTGAATTCTTGGCGAGCTCTGCTGCATTACGTCGATCATTTGGAGCGAGGGGTTGATTACTATAGAGTGACATCAGTGTTGGCCAAAGCAGTCACGAATATAGAAAATCCCACAGTTTCGTGAACAGATAATCATGGGGGTTTGGGTTGGTATGCTAAGCGAATAATTTAAGCATAATATAGAAGCGAGAAACAGACACCCACTGCCGTGATAAGGTTGAGATCGCGTTGGATAGCAAGGCAGAAGAGATCCAAATCTAAGGGGTGTGAGCAACTGGACGATAACGGGATCAAAAGGGCCCACCGAGGTCATTAAGATCATAGTTGAAAGGATTTTCACTGCAAAAGCGAATATTCGATGTGAACATTGGTGCGGACCACTTTCAAGGCGTGCTTACATCTCTTGGCCAATCTCCAAAAATCCGACAAGTAGGAATGAAGCAAAGGCAGTAGCAGGGATCGTGATATATCCAAAGGCCAAATACAGTTGGAACTAAAAAGACATTGAGTACACGTTTGTGAGGGTGTGGTCACAACTTACAGGCAAAAGCAACAAATAAAGCCTAAAATGTAGGGGTCAGATATGCACAAGGTTAGCAAAGGAGCTGGAGACAAACCACAAAGACATCCTCAAATGCGCTTGGTAGGCGAAAGGAAGTGGCGTATTACAAATCCGTTCCAAATTTGCGAGAGCATCTTGGAAAGACACTAAGGCATTCGTGAGGCCAGTAGCAATTGCAGGTTGGACAAGCCCTTTCTTCATAACGTCTGCAAATTACATTAGCTCGTCACCTAAGAAGAGAAGCAACAATGCTGACAGTTGGTATAGTTCGAGAGCACAAGACATATTTCCAGGGGGATGTGACTTTCCACAATCTCTGCATAAGCCTTCCTCCGGCTGTGCAATCTCGCTTCCTCTCGCTCCTCCTTGGTCTTCAGCTTTTTCTTGAGTGTGACAAGTTGCCAGCACCACCGGAAAAGTTTGAGGACAGGGAAGAAGTGGTAGAGGTTTCTACTCGGTGGGTTGCGGGCGGACAACAGAGGGAAGGGAGATTCGACTCGAGGGAGCACGACGTAAGGATCGTATGTCGCATTGGGAGGAGCAACCCTGTAAAAGCTGAATCTCCGCTTTCGCGCGGGCGCTCCAATATCAGAAGGGTAATCTTGCGATGAGGATTTAGCAACGTGTCGTTGGGATAACGAGAGTGGTTCCTTCTCAGTTTCATCCCCGACCACAGTAGAGTCGCTGCCTCCACGTCTATGACCTGTGACATGGGCGCCCATCTCCATAGGTTCGACTTCGGGAATAACCATTAGAGCGGCTGCTTGAGTAGCGGTATCAACCAGGCGATGCTGTTGATCTCGGAAATGCCATAGCGGGAGTTTGTCGCTTTCACGACCAACTCTCTCGTCTTCTGGTGTCGCAAACTTTGGCAGAAATGCAACGAGCGGGTAAAGGTCTTCGTAATAGGGCCCTTGTTCGCCACGGAGGAGGTGCTAGGGTTTCTTTGGTACCAAGACAATGATCGAATGAGACTGAGATCGCTTACTTTTACGGAGACGGAAAAGGCTTGGACCTAATTTCCGTAAGTTAGACGATGTGAACATGAGGACAACAGGCGAAACGCACCATGTTGATCATCGCTTTTTTCTCCAATGCGGCCTCCAGAGGTGTGATCGCTTTTTCCTTGCTGTCGGCAGCTGGTGTAGGACGATCAATCGGAACGTGTATCCAAATCTAAGGTGCCATCCACATTCAGAAATGACGACAACGACCTCAAAGGAGACAACGAACCATTTGAGCAAGGTGTCTTGAGGCAACCGCGATGTTAGACCACATTTTCCTACCATCTTGATACCTAAAACCAAGCAGATGCTTGTTAGCAGTGGGATAATCTAGCTCGTGAGCTAATCCTACCTTTCGTATGCAGACGACGTCCTGAATGAGATTACAAGACCAAGCACTAGACCCAGGACAGTGAGTAACTGGTTGGATACTCCAAGGTTGGTTTCGGTAAGCTTGGACACTAGGACAATCACTGGTAAAAGCGTTAAAATATAGTCAAAGAAATTCGACATGAAACTATACCTGTCGCAAACAATGTGAAAAAAGTGACTTCTGGCCAAGTATCGTCTAAGACTGTAGCCCCGAATTTCTTCGCCGTCCATCGGCCAGAGAAGAGTGGATTCTTGACCACCATAGTACCAAAGCTTTGGAGTTGACAGATTTACTTGGAAGAACAGCAACGCTAAGGTATAGAGAGAGCCGCAAGGGTATGCACCATCCTCGCGAGCTTAGCACTGGCTTTATAGTGCTTGACGTCGTAAAGATCGAGCTGCGGTGCTAAGACCACACGACCTTCAAACGTTCAACTACGTCCTCGTGTTCTCACTTTGGCATGCTGCAGTGAGCGCTCGCTTCAGGACTCCATTTCGTCTCCACCTTAGTGTAATTTCGAGTCCTTGAATCACAAAGAGAACTGATACAACGTTCTGTTGATCTTTCATCTCGTTAGATTCGGAGAAAGTAGAAGGCAGGATCTGGCCTGAAATGCTCGGTTGGAACATTCTGATGTGTGTTGGGGACTTGTAAGCTTAATGTAACCCACTTTTTAATCGGGTATGGTGTAACGGCTAACATTGCCGCCTCTCACGAGTGACCGCGGCAGCTCGGGGTTCGATTCCCCGTACCCGAATTTTTGGCTTTCTTGATAGCTTGCAGCCATGTCTGCGATCTCTTATTTTTTGTCTGTGCGCCAAAGCTCACATCATCTACTAAACAATGACCGCCAAATCATAAATGCAACAAAAAGTACTTGGATACTCAGAACACTGCCCAGAGGCTTGGTTCTTGGCTGAACAGGGGTGAGTTCATTCGATTTCGCTTGCCAGGCAAACAATGCTCTTCATCGTCGAGTCGTCGACTACTTGCTATAATCCTCTACCTTGTCGCGATCGCGAAGCGCCCAAACTTGATTTTGGGCCATATGGCAAACCCAAGGCTGCTGTGCGTGTTGTTTTGACGAGCGCTCATTGTTACTCGGCTTTGCCTGCTTTTCGCTTCGCCAGTCAGACCGCTTTGATCAAAGTCTTTGCTCCATGGTCTTTTGTGCACGTCGAGTCAAAAGATGATACCAACTAACTTATGTTGTTTTTGATTTGTTGTGATTAACGTAGAACGACATAGTCGAAGCATATCGACCCCGAGTTCCAGGGATTTGGTTATGTCTTGGCCAAGGCTGCGCCAATGAAGGTGTCTGCCATCCTTTATCTGAAGAATCAATTCACTGAAGAGTTTCCGACGGTGTAACATGTCTACTCCGCAATTCCTACTTTCTGGCAGCTTTGAACAAGCAACTTGTCTTTCGGAGATATTTTTGTTCCCTTATCAATTTTCAGATCTTGTTCTGCTTGTGCTTGGGCCTTCCTCAACAACTCGCGCTTGGACACGAGGGTTGTCCACAATTCTATCCACTCTTCTTGGAATGAAACAAAAAATAATAGAAATGAAGCACACGAGTCGCATCCAAAGAATTGTGCGGAGATGTTACAATCCCAATTTCGGTATGATGTCACCATGGTACTGGCCGCCGTCAGGAACACAATAGATTCGAGTCAAATTTCGTTGACCGGCCATGTCTTCCCTGCGTCGAATTTTGAATTTGTTTCGTCGGAACTAAGCGCATGGGCGCTCAAACACGCGAGGTCGTTTTGGATAGCCCAACGATGAAGGAGAGTACATATATATTCCTCTCTGCTGTAGGATGCAGTATATGCGTTTGGTATTTCTTGTCAATCAGTGGTCTATTTGTGGCTGGAACTGTCTAACAATGATTGCTTCAAACAGCAATTTTCAAGGAACACTCCGGCAAAAAATGTTGCCTCTTCATGTCGGCGACCAGGGTCGTTGGCCCACAACAACAGGGATAGCCCAGATGCCGAGAACAACGGGCGGCGATCACGATTCGGTTTGGGTGCAAGCGAAATTTGGTCTCTTAAATACCTCCACAACAGTCAACCTTCCTCCGCTCTTTTCTTACCGTCGTTTCTTTGGACTCGGTTCAACTAATAGTCGTCCGTTGTCGACTTTCTGTTCTTCTCATACTATTCTATCTCGTGAATCGAGCACCACACCTCGGCCCACGAGCTAGTCATGGTCGCGTCGAACCCTCTATTTCGCGGCACATGGACCGCTAAAAAGTTTCAAGCCACTGTCATAAACGATATTTGGCCTGAGACACTCTTCTTCTCCCTTGTTGCCACCAGTGAGTGCTCCAGTATGGTATGACATTGCCCCGTCTAACCAACTCATAGTGGTGGTCCTGGTGTCGAAAGAGACAACCCACAAGCTGGGTGTCGCGAATGGTCTCTTGACTGTCCTCGGTACAGTCCTCGGTTTGGTCATTTCCTTCAGGACATCGTCGGCCTACGAACGGTATGTCTATTGCCAAAAGATTACGGGAGCCTACTGAATGCGGTTATTGGACCTACAGGTACCAAGATGGAAGAAAAATGTGGACGAATATTATGATTGCCTCGCGTAATTTGGCCCAACAGATTTGGATTCACATCCCTTCAGACCGAGCCGGAAAGGGGGACACAACAGTCATGCAGAACATAATTGAGAAAAAGTCGATGATCAACTTGGTAAGTCAAAGTAACACCCATCTTGTCCTAACATGAGGCTTACGGGCCTTGATCCAGATCACTGCCTTCTCTGTGTCAGTGAAGGTACGAAGTTATTTTATGCGTATTTTTTAGTTATTGATCACTGTTATTAGCACTTCCTACGCGGCGAACGAGGTGTCTACTACGAGGATCTCTACCCACTCATCTCTTTCCTACCCAAACACGCTGAAGGTGCTTCACCAGATTCTGAACCTCTTCCACTTTGGCACGACGATGACGATGACGAACATCACCGCGCCATTGACATGCCTGTCACTGAACTTGGACGTGAAGTTTCAAGGTCTTCCTCTGATGGTACCCAGCAAGGAGAAATGGGAGAGAAAGGTGGCGATCCAGAGAAAGGATTGGGTCCCCGTGGCGAACGCCGTTTGAGGCCTGCCAGAAACCCTCCTGTTGATACGATCTATGACTATTTCCCACTGCTAAGGCTTTTTAAGTGGATTGCGAGGTCCATTTCCAAACGCGCGCGTGCCAAGCAAACCGCTGCAGAGAAAGCTCGCAACAAGAGAAGAAAACATCAGTCCGAGGTTCTTGAATCTCATATCCCGGTCGAAATTGTTTTGGTACTTTCGAAGTCAGTCGATCATTTCCGTCTCTGGTGAAAATTGTAACTAATACCATGTTGTTCTATCTAGCTATACTGCGTGTATGTTATCTGCCCTCTATTTCTCTTGTGTCTTCTTACACCCTCATAGATTGCATGAGAAACGGCTTGATGCAACCTGCCATTGCTACCGGTGTCACTGCTAATCTTACTATGTTGCAAGACACTGTCTCTAATCTTGAACGCATCCTCAATACTCCGCTCCCTTTCGCGTATCAGGCTCATCTGCGCATGTCGCTTTGGCTGTATCTGTTCTTCTTACCCGTGAGTTTCAAAGAAGTCTGCCCGAAAATGACATTGCTGACAGATACTACAGTTCCAAATTTACAGTGCTTTCGGTTGGTTGACAATTCCGGGCACGGCCTTCGCTTCATTCCTTCTTCTCGGATTTTTGGAGATAGGACAAGAAATCGAGAACCCATTCAACTACGATCTCAACGATCTGGATCTCGACTACTTCTGCCAGGCCATTCAGAGGGAGATGCACCTGATCACAGCCCATCCTGCGCCAGACCCCAGGTCTTTTATCTTCACTAATCTCAACCAACCCTTTGCTCCCGTTGATATGCGTACGGCGCAAGAGCTTACTCAGGGCGATGGCGAGTATCGCTTCCCACTGGATGGTCAGGCTGAGGCCGGTGTCCCTTCTTTGAGGCGTACTCTCTTGAAAGGATGGAAGGAGGTCGATAATATGACTAGAACATAAGCATATGCCACCAGATCCCTTCATGGCTGATGGACTTTTTTTTTCTCTTATTCGGTGGAACCATGTTATTTCCAGGGTTTCTTTTTCCAAAAATGTTTATACTCGCATTGCTTCTTTCGCCTGTCGCATACATTATTCATAGATACAATCATATCAGCATCGTTGGTCTTCGCGTTCACCTGTTTTGCATATTTTAGATTGCTAATCATTGTGGGCATCTTTCAGAATATCACTTCCACCTTTGAGTCGATCGCATGTAGTATTCACATTGCAATCTACTCTTCCGAGTAACAAAAGTAAAAGATATTCGGGTACGGGGAATCGAACCCCGAGCTGCCGCGGTGCTCCTGAGAGGCGGCAATGTTAGCCGTTACACCATACCCGACCTGAATGCTGTGTTTAAAATGCTGTATATACTATCAAAGTCAGCGACTAGAAAGTTGAAGATTGGTAAATTCGACCCTTTTGATCTTGATATTCAATGGTTAATGAAATTTAGGACATTCATTATGCTCCGAAAATCTATTGAATTGAAAAATGAAACTAAACAGTGTCAGTACAGAGAATACAGCGATAGTTTGTACGAGTTTACAGAATTGAAGTCGAAAAATGCGAGTAAATGAACTATTGTGTACGGGCCAGCACGCGAGGTTGGCTGACATCTGCCATATTGATGAAGATATCGTCCGCAGGGTGGCGGTATAAGGGTGCGCGCAACCTCTTTTGATCGAGATGATGACCAATGAAGCCAATGCTACGACCGAGAACAAAGAGACCATTAAGGGTACCGATTTTGATGTACTCATCAGCTTCTTCTGGAGTGAAGGCACCGCTATCTCGGAGGAGATCGACGAAGCAGACGGCGATGCAGCCATCAACGTTTAGGATGAGCTAACAAATGATCAGCAACATGAAACGCAATAGACAGAGGAGCAACTTACAGTATCTTTCTTAGCTGTGGTAACTTTCTCGACGGCGAGGGCGTAATCGAGCAAGCTGTGGCTCGGGAAGTGCTTGTGGACGTACTCCTTGACGAGCTCGACACGAAGATCAGGGTTGTTGACGCTTTTGATCTTGTGGCCGATACCAGAGACTGGTCAGTCCCGTTAGTAAAGGGCCGGTATATCACGAGTTACTGGTAAAACGTACTGAGTTTGTTGGCCTTCCTTGAGTTATCGACAAACTCTCGAGGGGTTAGACCGGTGTCACGGGCATTCGAGAACATAGAGGCTGCCTCGTCGAGGGCACCACCGAACCGGCTACCAATAGTCAACAGACCAGAAGCCAGCGACGAGATCAAGTCCTTGCCAGCACGAGTGGCAACGATCGTGTTCATCGCCCCCGACACAGCGGGACCATGGTCAGCGGTCAACATGAGCACCATCTCGATGAACTTGGTGGCCCACGGTGGTAGACCTGGAAACATTGAGTTCGTGAGTCCTAGTCCACAGGAGCCATGGTAGTAAAAACTTACGTCTCTTAAACCACAATAAACTGAGGACACCTCCAATACCGATCTCATCTTTGAACACGTCGGAGATCCTCATACCGGCATATAACAGCTCCTGTCCTCGCTCATCCGAAATCGTCGAGATGAAAGCAGCAGGCTTCCTGATGAGACCAAGTTCTTGGGCCCACTTATAATCCATGGGGATGACTGGTGGCTCGACCTCGGACTTGGGCTTAATCGCACCACC